AAACACAACGCTGTTTTTTTTGCAGTGTTGGCTATTAATATTTCTCAATGCAATTAGAAACTATTAAAAACAATTTTCAAATAGCACTAACGAAACAGCAACAACAAAAAAAGTTCTTTCGAAATTCTTATCATTAAACAAACTTTACGAAAATACGCTATACGAAGTAAATGCTAATGTTTTTATTTTTTTTAATTTTTTTTTTTGTAATTATGAGTTAATTAAAACGTTTAGTTAATTTGACTTATTGTAAGTATTCTTGTTTCATAAAAATACGCCAAAATGTGCAAAAAGCGAAAGATTGAAAAAAATCATCGTGTCAGCAACAAATTGGTAATCTTGGTGACAGACAGAAGGAAGTTTTTTGGCGGTGCTTTGGATCGATTTTTCTTAAAGCTGATGAGAGAAATTATTCGAAGAAATATCAAAAAATATTAAATATTATAAATAATATTAATTATATTCTATTAAATACTATAATAAATCATCGAAATAATAAATATTCAAAAATACAAACGAAAAAAAAACCAAGGTTAGGTCTGCGGAAACTTCATTTATTTAGCATATTTTATTTATGATAGACAGATACCAAGTACCGTTATTACAAACTTATTATAAACATGGCATTATAGCTATTATAAAACACTTCATGCTAAAATACAATACAAAGTTTTAAGTTTAAAGTTTTAGTGATATTGGCGACGAGGTAAACACTGTTTTTTAAAGAATTTGTAAATAATAAATTCAAATAATAAATTTCCGAAGAATGCTGGTGCAAAAGTATTTTGAATTTATAAAATAAAATTACTTAATTTTGAAAACTATTTACGATACTTCACAAAATTACTTAATTTCGAAAAATATTTTTCCTGTTTCAATTATTTTAAAACTATAAAAAGTGTGCGCTTCTATTTTATAATTCCATTTGAAGCTCGAATTTATAGATTTTTAGTGAATTTTTTTAGGTGAATTAATATAGTTGAAAAATGAACGCAATTCGAGTGGAGTAGATCACTTTCACATCGAAGGAATATTTTAAATCAACAACAATAAATAGAAAATAATTTTTTTATCGCATGCCACAAAAAACATCAACACCAGTTTGTCGACACTCGTTTTAAAAAGAATTTTCTACCAGAAATTCTCTAAGCCATTTTTTCTTGTTGACCGTCAGTGAGTTATGTTCCACTAACTCGTCGACAAGCGATGAGGGGAGAACATTGGGATGACCTTTTGGAACAAGTATTCCACATTTGCGTATCACAGGGTAGGAACCCAGAAACCTCTCACTAGGCCGCCTGATTATCGATGTGCGGCACTTTACTCGTGTTGCTAGATTCGCCATAGCATCTCCTAGTTTCTGAAATCAGGGACTGCAACGGAAGCCGCCAGAAGATCTGAACTTAAGCCCTTTTGCCCCTAGCTACGCACGTTACTAAACCACAATTCTAGTTTCTTACTTTGGAAATGTATCGATGATTAGAGCTTTCTAATTTCCAATTGGCATAACCAACATAAACTGTTAGCTGGAGCAATAGCTTCCGAGTCTCTGTCAACGTGAATTAAATTAACTGGACGCTATTATGGTTACAAATGTCCCCTTCAAGCCGTAGAGGTCTCAAGGAAATACCCAATACTGATAGATGTACTTTATTAGCTATGAGGCTGTTCGCCCATTGATTATCGGATATGAGCGCCATGAGGGACATTAGCACTGAATTGCTGTCCTTTCAGATCCTAATTGCCCTCTTGGCAGAGGAGATGAAGCTATACAAGTTAATCGCAAGTATCGATGGACACGGAATTTCTAAAAACGGAGCACTAACGGAAGACAAGATTCTGAAGACATATTTTCTTATATGCTTACTTTTTTGCTATTTTGTTTTGCATTTACTCATATACAGTTCTACTAACTTATGCTTCATGCTTAGAACAATGGGCTCCTGAATTGTGGAAAACTCGGTTTGAATCCCGGAATGCACATCGAAAACTCCCGTGCGTACGCACGGGATGTACGCGTTAAATTTGTAGGCTGATATTACACCAAAGGATTTGAAAGAGTGTGTAGTGAGTATGTACTTTTCTAATTGTTACTCATAGAATCGGTCGTCCTACATTTCTGTAACACTGGGATATACTAAATTTACCAAAGTGATGTTTCCTTTATAAAGTACCAGGTATGCTTAGCAGGGGGAAGTATGTATAAACATTGTTAGTGTCATAGCCTGGAAGAAAAGGTTTATTGTCAATCGAAGAACAAAAACAAATTATAATTTTGCAGAACAGTGAAAGGTTTATCAAACGCTAGTTATAATATTAGTTAACTGATGTAATAGTCTGTAACTGTTAAAGTCAAACTTGTCATGAGCTTCGAAAATATTATTCGATGTCAACCTGTTGACTATAAGGGTATTTTCCAAGTTTTTTCAAATGCAAAACAAATTAAAGTATACATTGGTTCCTTAAAAGATTTACAAGACATCCAATTCCCTTTTCCATCTTGTAGAGCAGAGGTCTCCAAACTACGGCCCGCGGGCCAAATCCGGCCCGCGACAGCGAATAGCTTATTGCTGCTATAATAAGTTGGATAAAAAAAAACAGTATGATAATAAATCGGTTTTATTGACTTGCTAGGTAAAGCTTAATGACAAGCATAATACTCAGAAAATTTAACTTAAGCATAACAACTAACAATTAATTGAAATGCATCCCGCTAACATTATAAACTAGTGAACATCCCACAGTTACCCACGGTAGTTATGTTGTGGTAAAGAGTATCGCATATGTATGTATATCGATGTTTCGAATGTATATATCCGGAATCTAACATACGATTTTTATCCTGGAAATCCCTCAGGAACGGAAAAGTTAAATTAACGCGAATGAAACAGCGGGGTATCCACTAGTAAAAAAAATACTAATGAGATTTATGTCATTGTGATTTTTCACTGACAATAGTTTGTAGTTAGCAAGCGTGTGCTCGCTCAGAGCGCGTACTCGGCGACTAGTCTAGAAATTATAGATAATGGCAGAAAAATTAAAACGGTTTTGGCCCTTGGTACTTACTAGAATAAACAGTATGGCCCTAAGGCTGGAAAGTTTGGAGACCCCTGTTGTAGAGTAATGCTTCTCCCCTGTTGGGACGCACACTTCGGAGGGTATTTCATTGCAATCTGTGGCGTATTGCTGTCTTTGTAGGGACGGGTACATTAAGACTTTCCGGGAACTTGTCGGCAAGTCTTGATCCAGGTGGATTTTCACAGGGAGTGATGACAAAGACGTTGTTGAACAATGGATTCGGCATCTCTGCTTTCTCCGCACGGCACGTTTCCAAAGTTGGGGCATAGCTGGGTAGAATATATATCTAAGATTTGGCTATTGTGTGTAGTGCCCTTCGCGTGTGGAACACAGGCCTTTCCGGAGAGTGGATGGTGTAGAATAATGCTATTCCCACTTTGTCTTGGTAACGTTTAATCTGCTACAATACTATCTATATTTGTAAAACAATATTTCAAATACAAAAGCCAAACTTTGCATGAAAAAGATTCGTTAAATCACTTGATAGCCCAACTTGCCGCAACTAGCTTGCAAGAGACTTTAAAATCCAAATCTGCTGGAGACATGTCTTGCAGTTGCTGCTTGCAAATACGAGGAAATCCAGTAGAGATTTTAACAGTGACTTCAATTCACTGTTGAATTTTTTGGTGGTAGTTTTGGTTTCATGACATGACAAAAAAATACGTGGTAGTTATTTTGAATTGGTAGTTATTTTGGCAGATGCTTTTCTTCTCCTGTACACCTTAGTAGACATAAAACTAACTAACTCTCTGGCACTACAGTCCATGTTTGACCATGGACATCTGCCTACTGGCAGATTCCGAAACAGGATGTTTTCTATTTACGGATTAGGGCTGTCAACCTTACGCCTCATATTCTACATTAGTATTAGACAGGAATCTACGATTTAAAGGGGATTTCGAACCACTACAAATATCCATGGCACCGCTGGGAATTGAATCCTGTCGCACCGAGTGCCAGAACATTAGTCCCTCGGCCATCAAGTCCCTTTAGTAAACATATTAAAGTGGAATACGACGCTCACCAATATACAAGAAAAAATTACTTTTTAATACGTTATGTATGATATGAAATGACATCAGTTCAAAAATAAAGAACAATACGAATTCTCTCCTTAAAATAACGGACTTTTGAGAATCATTTTTTTCTAAGAACCTCAACGTACTTTCATTTCTATTTAGCCGCGTCCATTAAAAAGATTTTAATCGACGTCCTATGATTTAAGCGCACAATCCATCACGAGTCCGTGCGCTTAATGGGCCACATTAAAATGCCTATAAAATGATCGTCAGTTGATAAAATCAATCATAAAAGGGTGGACAGTGCTTTGAAGTGATTTGCGACCTTGTACGCCGTTTTTTCCTATTTTGCACGATTTCAACAGGAGAATGATGAATAAAGCGTGACACTAGGATTTTACAGCAGACAGCACTTAATTTTTATTGAAAAATTCTCGGGTTGATTATTATAATTTGAATCAATTGTTTCCCTTCAATGCTCAAATAACTTGGAAAGTTATTGCTCAGTATTTTAAGACAATGAGTACTTAAATATTTAACAGCCTCCTTCGCGTGCATTTTTATTTTTTTCATTTCTGAGACTGAGTCATTAGAAGTAAGTTTAAATAAAAAAAAATCAATAAATACTTTATTTTCCTGGAAATTCGACGAAGTTCTGCAGAAATGAAAGCGGTTTGAAGGGCATTGCTCCCCTTTCCGCATTTCAAAGTTTTCTAACGCGTTTTTCTATGGCTTTCGTTCGTTTCAAATTGCTTTTTTGTACGTTATTAACTACCCTCACTCACGTCAATTAAGCAGCTTTTCACTTATTATATAACGGAACAACATATCCGGGTTTTTTTTCAGATACTGGAATTTTGAAAACAATTAAATTAAATTAATACATTAATTTATAATAATGCCAACGGCCGTACCATGCTGAATATACCGGTTCTCGTTAGATCACCGAAGTCAAGCATCATTGGGCGCGGTCAGTACTTGGGTGGGTGACCACCTGGGAACACCGCTTGCCGTTGGCATTCACAAATTTGGGACCTGAATGGCGGAGTGTCTAGCGCTCTGGCGCTCGGTGCCACAGGTTTCGGGTTCGAATCCCGGCGGTGCCATGGATGTTTGTAGTGGTTCGGAATCCACTTTAAGCCGTAGGTCCCGGTCTTCTATGACTGTAAGAGCGTCACGGAGCAAAAGTCAGGCTTCTACCTACGGGTGCTCCATCACAACAGAAGCTGCTTCCTTCCCCTTCAACCATGAGTCCATACGGGCTCGTGGGCTTGGCCAGCCAACTGGGATAAGAAACAACAACAACAACAACAAACATTTATAATTCTTAATTAATTTTAATATTCTTAAAAATTAACAAAAATTTAAAAGTTTATATTGCGAAAATTACGGACCTTAATGGCCGAGTGGCTAGCGCTCTGGCACTCTGATTGTAGTGGTTCGGAATCCACTTTAAATCGCAGGTTCCGGTCTAACATGAGTGTTGCTCCGCGTCTGTAGCTTATCTTCAAGCTACACGCACTTCCTGGTTAATGCTAAATGAGCGCTTGCCTTAAGGCATCCAAAACAATTGTATCTCTTGACAGATGATAGAACATAAATTATTTATAACTTTCCTTAGATGAAAATAGAATTTCATAACCTGTTTCATAAGAAAAGTTAGTTCTTATGGTAGAGTGTTTCGTCAGAGTGTATTAGTTTCAGCATTATTCAGGCAGAGAATTCTATCGTGGTGAAAGACCATTCATAGTTCTTTGTGATCTATCCTATTTCCCTTTCTCTAAAAGAAAATATTTGTCATATATAAAGTGTATATGATTACATTGCTATATATGATTACGTTGTTTTATATGATTACATTGCTGTAAATAATAATTTCTATAAAAATGTAAGCTAACTATATTTGAGGAATTAAAAAAATTTTTTTTATTGATTAAACAAATAACTCTTTTTATTCTAATTATTAACGTACATTCAAAGAATTTTTTTTTCTGTTAGCAGATAAATATATTTTCTGTTAACCTATAATTTTATGAATAATTCAAGAATTTAAATTTTGTCATAAAATATTAACAATAAAAATATTAACAATAATGTTATTTAAAAAGTAAATGCAAATATTGTTTTGTCCTATACTTAATTAAATATTTATACATTCTTGTATGGTTAAATTCTGTTTGTAAAACTACCATTATTCAAGTTTCTATGATAACATGAATATTTTCTAAACATTAAAGTATATTTAAGTTGCTAATATATTCAAATATTCATAATGTTTTAAACTTTTTAATCTAATTAAATTACACTTTTGTGTTTAATTTCGTAAGACATAACTAAGCAAATAACTCCTTGGCACTAACTCTAATAAACTCCCTACAATTCGCGTTGAACCATGGCGGTCTGCTTGATTCCGAAGCAGGAGTTGTTTTCTTTTTAGGGATAGGGGGTAGTTTATTTAGAGAGTTACTTATTTATTACAGGAGTATTTCTTTTTAGCGTAGGGTTGACAGCCCATCAGGGTTGTTAACCCTACGCCCAATAATCACATTAGAATTGGACATCCGGTTTAAAGTGGATTCCGGACCACTACAAACATCCATGGCATCACCGGAACCCGAACCCGAAACCTGTGACACCGATCGCCAGAGCGTAGGTCACTCGGCCATTAGACACATAAATAACAAAAAAAAAAATGTTCAATAAAATGTATAGTAACAATTAAAAATGTTGTATTCAAGATCCTGGTCAATAAAAAAAGAATTTCCTTGTTTGATATAGTTCGTAGAATAAAATCTGTTTTCAACGGATTAAAACAAAGAACCGAAGATCAACCTCTTTATTTCCCCAATACAGACAGCGACTTGATAGTCAATTGGGGAATCCACATTAAATTGTAGGTCTCGGTCTAATTAGCCTAAAGTGTGCGCAAAAATGACTGGAGAGCGACAAACCAAAACAATCCAAGTTTATTAAAAAAAGAATCCAAATTCAATAGAATCTTTTATAAAATTAATAACTTCAACTTCTGAAATGTATAATTCAAAGTATATTTTGACAGGTAAATTACAAACAAAGAACTCAGTTAGGTGTTAAATTTAGACAGCATCAAAGGACGCCTGGTAGGAATTACAAAGTGTCTTGTCAAGAAATTTTTGAATCTGAAGGAAAGTTAAAGTTAAATAATTTAAATGGGACTTAATCATTTAAAATGATTAAGAATAATTTAAAATGATTTCAACTGATTTTGCTTGCCAGTCATCTAGTACATTCTCTGTAATGCCAACATGCTCCGGAGATGCACTGAACTGTTAAAATGCTGTTTAAAAGGGTTTGTATTTGACTTCAGACATGTTTGATGACGCCATTAGATTGAAAGCTGCAATTTCTAACAGAAAGACTATCTGTTAGGCTGGTATAGTTCTGAGAACATATGATTAAAATCAGTGCAAGAGCTTCACCTGAGAAAATGCAATTGTAATTGAAAATCTGATCTTAGGAAGACACTTATGTAAAGCTGACAGCTATAGAAGATTTAAGGTATGTCTCAGATGCGTCAGAAGCCAAATTAATCTCGGAGTTAAAATTAACTCCAGAGTTTATCTTTAAATTTCCCAAAAAGGTGTTTGATGACAGAATGGGGTAACTGTTAGTTTTGAAAGGGTAAATAATCATCGAGATGAAATGCGATTTTCGGGTATTGACTGGTGGAGAATTGCGAATTAAACTGGAAGGTTGAATGTTCACTCTGTCTAGATATTGTGAAAAAAAATTTGAAATGGGATATTTCAACATTGGCGATTGTTTTCCAGATCTAAGATAAATAGAGAGAAAAAGAGTTTCTCCAGCATAAGCTGCTTCTGAAAGGTAAAATAGGGAGCGGAGTCCATTTTGGAAGACCTTTTGGAAAATGTAATACTTAAAATCTGGATAACGCTATGGCTAGAGGAGATAAAAATAATCGACCCATATTCGAGTAGGTTCAATTATAATTGAAAAACTCAATCACAGAAAGTCCACGAATTGAAGATTTGTTGAGGTTAATAAAGTTATGAACCAATGACACTCCGTTTTTCTTCAATTTACTCATCCGATGGTAATACATTTGGTAAATATTGTAGAAGGATGTATTTATTTGGCAATATTTTTATGATGAAATGGTTTTTGTTCTGTATTATATTACAGTAACATATAAGCTAACATACAAGTTAATAAAATATTTGAAATAAATGACATTTTGAAACAAATGATATGTAATACAAACATATCATAGCAATTCTAAAATATTGCAAGACATTCCTTAGACGGCATGCCAAATGTTTCGCCAATTCAGGACAAAAAAGGTGCCAATAAAGGAATAATTTTCTAACTGAAATACGATTAAAGATTACCTTGTTCTAATGAATAGGTTTCGCTATTATAAAATGGTAAATAAATTTAACCAATTTTATTTTAATTCTTAAATTTTTTTTTAATGTTTTATTTATGATAAGCAAATTAACTTTAAATTAAAGCTAGAAATAATTATTCTTCTGATATTTTTATAAATTTTGTATGCTTGTTTGGCAAAATGAGCTTTTCTAAAAAATTTGTAAGCATCTGTAGTTCTTTAACAGTAGCAAGGTTTTCAGTGCTTATTTTTAGCTGCGGTTTCTATGAACAACCTCCACCCCGTAAAAGGTGATTCGGCTATATCAGAACCGTAACTGAATGCTCACTTCTTAGGTAGCTCACGTGATATCTTTAGACACGTATTTTCAATCCTTTTTTTATTTTTTTTTATTCGAAGGTGCAGTATTGCGGAAGCCCATGAATCCATTCATAGAAAGTTATTTTTAAATTCATACACTATGGGATAGAGAAACTTGAAGAACAGGAGGTTTTTCTGAACTCATGGAGTTAGATACAAAACCCGACACCTAAAGGTGCACCCATGTTTATGACATGATTATTATAAACCTTTATGGCGGAAAGCTATTCCATTAGTATCGAGTAGGAGGAGGCAGTAATTACAAATGTAAAATCCCTGTAGGAGTTCGCTCGAAATTGAGATGGCAAAATGTGGATGTATTTGTAGCATGTTCTTCTGGAGAGCAACCTGGTCAGCTCTAAATCTGCTATATACCATTCAAGTATTAGTGTTAAAGTACCCGTTATTTAAAAACAAAATAATTAAACAGTTTCACATGACGAATAAAAAGTTTTGACTTTGTAAAAGCTAAAACTTTTTTAGCAAAAATGAAAAGATAAATATTAGTACCATTAGAAAGTGAATCAGTCAAATTATAGGTTCCTTTTCTTTGTTATGGTTTTTGTTGTTAAGCTTAGACTAGTCTGGAAAAAATTATGTGGCCTAGTCTAGTACAATCAAGAACAAAAATGGAACATGTTCTGCCTTTTATTTCCTTGGAATGAATTTGAAAAAAAGTACTCTTCAGGTCATTTTAAAGCATAATAAATTAGCATAAATTGTTAAATTGAAGAAAAAAAAATACTCTATTATGTACAATCTAAGATATCGACTATACCAAAAAACAAAGATGTCTTTAAATGATATTTCAAATCTTCTTAATTTCTATCGAATGCTGGACACATTTGCTCGAAATCATTATTGTCAATATGTAGCAAATTGTGCGTTATCTAGGGGCTTCTTCCTGAAACTCGGTGTAAAAACATTCTAACGTGTAGATTCATAATGCTCAATTTCGACATAGATACAGTGCCCATTCTCAACATAGAAGCTTTCGACTCAGCTTTTCTTGATGGTTTGCCACGTAGGTGAGCATTAAAATAAATTAAATACTTTATGTGGATTTATTTTTTTGGAATTTAAAAAATAAATAAATACATACAAGCTATGACATTTTAAGGGAATTTACATATTATTTAATTTATTTATTTAACTATTAATTTAATTTTTAAATTGAATAGCATTCATAGCAGCTTTGGGCAGCATGCGGCGGTGATGCTTTGTACATCCCTGTTCAAGACCTTCTGGATTTTTTTTATTTTTTACG